CCCCCCCCCCCCCAAAACCCCACCCAGTGGAAAAAGTATCCATAGCAGGATTACAATAGAAAACATTATTCTCTCATTGATTAGTGTTATAATCTTAGTCTCCCCGTGTATGTTCTGTTGTCTTCCACGCCTTAAATCATCTCTAGTAAATCATCCAAAACCTTGGTAAGAATCTAAGACAATGCAAATTGTTTAACCTCAAATACAGATCACTTAAGGTGTATCAAGTAAAAGATGATTCCCTGGTTCATTTGATCCCTTTATGTCGAAGATCACAAAAAAATTAATTATCAGAAAGAAAATTTTTACAAAATTCTACCTCTGATATAGCAAGCAGCAGATACCAAACCCAACATGAACCCGCTACAAGCAGCTGTAATATCGAAAGCCAATGGATTGCTTTTGCAGCCAAGCGCTTTTTGGATCTGAGTAAATGAAAGCGCCACACAAGAATGGATAAAGAGTCCCCAAGAAAATTCTGAAGAGAACATGGTTAAACGTATAACTGATGAAGCATCAACTTAAATAATTTGGATCAGCAGCTTGGGAAATTAGAATCAAAAAGTCAGTGAGCTGGAAATGCATGATATAACTAGAGCATTGAAAAAGACAAGAACCAAAATAACTAAAATAAGCAAACATATTGTTTGCAGGACACACTATTTTTTTTTATAAACACTATTGGGACTAATTAGAAAGACAATTAGCAGTGCCAACACCATTGCTGGCCAGTCACTTGTGACAAGCAAACCAGCCAGTTCTGAAGGATTCATTAATTAAATGAGCCAAGCATTTAACTCTGAGTTGAACGATCACAGCGGCGGGAAAAGGTTCAAATTAATTTTCCTGAGAAGCAACCTTTTATCGCTCCGAGCTCTCATTACATCATCACTGTATCTTTTTGTTTCGTGTAATTTCAAGGGAAATGCATGGTGACACTATATATTGTTGTTGTTGAACTTCTATATGGATTTGTCTGATATAAGATCACGATGACGGAAAAGGTTCGAATCAATTCTCCTGCAGAGGAACGTTTTACCACTCCGAGCTCTCATTAGATCATCACTGTATTTTCTTTGTTTCACATAATTTCAAGGGAAATGCATGGTGACATAATAATATAACACCGATGACAGAATAAATGAATAAAAACGCTTTAACCTCTGATGAAGCTATATTAAGTTTCAGAAGCTGTCGATCATTCTTCATTGAATTGTGAGATCATAGTACAGGAACATGTAAGGCATAAACAAAAATATCATACACACAAAACCAAAGGCGAATAGTTTGCATGCTTGTGCTTATTTTCTCTTCTCACAAGGGGGTAGTTGATTTACACATTTTTTTCTTTTTTAAGCTATTTCTCTTCTTTCCGGAAAAAGCAAAGAGCTTCACTTAATTGCCTTAAGGCGATTTCTTTTTCAGTTATAATCCTAGTAAATGCACGAGACAAGTTCATCAAACAATATGCTGAGAACAGTTAAAAAGAAAGGAAAAAATATATACTGTGAATCAATTGCTCGGCATGAATTATGTTCTATAAAGTGGAAATAGAGAAACAAGAAGGCAAAAAGAAGAAACGTCTAAACTCAAAAGCTCCATAGCGATATGTTTCATGCTTTCGCTCAAGCTAACTCATCTTATTGGTGTGCAATAAGAAAGCTCTAATGCAGGTTCTTTCTGAATGGTCTGCTGAAGACAGGCAATACCACAAGAAAGGTAAATTTTGTTGCACTATCAGTTACATGGAAATACATTGATAATATTCTACCAAGTTATACCTGTGGAGCACTTCCAAAAAGGTCCTCTGGGGTTGAAGTACACAGCAATATTAGGTCAATATCATTAGGATCAACCTCTGCCATCTCAAGAGCTTTCCTTGCAGCCTCTGCGGCCAGATCTGTTAAATTGTCTTTGCCTGTAAAAGCATACATCAGATTGGGGCTGGTTTATGTTAAATACCAAAATTTAATTAACATATTTTTCCATCTAAACAAGAAAAGAAGTATTTGACCACCATTTCAGAAAAGGCATTTCTGAGTTTAAATGGTTTATGCTACAAACCTATTAATGCATGTTCTGATATTTGCCAAGTCATTCATATGTATCCACAAAAAATTTAAATGTTGATTTTTATTTGGAATAAATGAACAATAAGGTTATGTTCTGCAAACATTCAAACAAGGAAAATTCCAGAGAAACACCTATGTGCATCATGATTCCTAAAGATGTTTGATTCTGTAGAATTATGTCAATCTACTCAGAAGATAACTTAAATGTGCACAGTAAAATGAAGTATGAAAAGCTCTTTAAATTTCTGAGGAAATGACTGAAAAGAAGTATACCAAAGAAGCGGGATATCTTGTTATCACATTAGGACCCATTTGGAGTGCTTTGGACAGGTTCTTATTCATATAGTGCTTTTACCGACAGTACTTCTATATTAGTAGTTTGCTTGATGTTTGATAGGATTATTTTAAAAAAGCAATTTTTCTGGTATTTATAGATTAACCTCAACTAGAATTACCAATTAATGACAATGGAAAAATATCCTTTGAAATATACCGATATTTAGGCGAAATAAAGTTTCAAAAGCTCTAAATTTGAGCTTCAACCAAGGAGCCTTTTATAAAAACTCTAGGAACTAAAGTACTTTTTTTTTATAACTGTGATGTCCAGGCCAGGATACCTATTACCTCCCACCAGCAGGTATCAGGTAACTCTATCCACCAAGGCTTGGATAGATGGGAAGAAATGGCTTAGTGCTTTATGTCTCCGCTGAGAATTGAACCGGAGATCTCATGGTTCTAACCCACTTCACTGACCACTATGCCATACCCTTGGGTGCTAAAAGTACTTCCAACTATTCACAAAACATAGAAAATGTACCGCATTCCCAAATGGGACTTAAGTATTATATTTTCTGCTAAAGAACAGAATACAACAAAATCCAGTCAGTTAACAAGCATTGAAGTCAATGAAAGACTTGCCTGATAGAACTCTACGGTTACGAATTCCTGTTCGAACAGATATCCATTCATCATTAGTATCGACAATTTTTGCAAGATCATCATTGGAAACTTTTAGAGCTGGTACTGCGGAGCCACATCCTATTAGTTTGCAGCCCCTGTTAACTAACCTGACCAAGCAAATAAAATACTTAAGAAAGAAGGAATATGGATTCAACTGACATGCTCTCATATAAGCTCCAGCCTGCTTGCTGAAAACTAGAGTTCTTTGTTAAAATGTTCAAGAAATGCACCATGACGCCACTCAGTATAACAAAAATGGAAAGAAGTGAACACAATTGGACCCATGTTTCCCCCTTTCTTTAGGTGAGGTTTTTGCTTTGGTCCCCTTATTTCAGTGGGAGCCAGCGAAGGAGCTAAATATTAGCATAACTTGATAACTTCCTCTACGCTCCTTTTGCGACCAAGAAGATAAATCCCCAAGAAGAAATAAAAGGCCAAATTCTACAAGCAGGCATAACTATCCACCAAAAAAGTGAGCTTTCTCAAAATGTAATTGATCCAAGTTTCTGGAAGTGACAACATAGTTCAGCCTTCTCGCTAGCTCAATTTGTGGGTATCCAACTCATGCTAGCGAAGTCCATTTCCTTTATTTCCAGTAAACTTCTTCAGTCCCTACTAATCAAATGTATTTCATGTGCCCCTATTTCAGCTTTGTTCATATTGCTTCTTCGAAATCTTTGTCTAGCTGTGTTTTCAACTATACAATAACTTATCTCATAAGTGTTTTAAGATACTAAGCCACAATGCACAATGCAAACGACTACTTCACTTGCATATCAGTAAAAATGAGAATAAACAGTCAAAGCACGAACAATCAGCAACGTCAGAAACTCACATGTATAATTTTATAATTGGTGCAATGGAGTATCAGAATTTGATAACCACATCAAGATTCTTCAAACATGATTACCCCGCGAAAATTTTGATTTAGCATCAGGAAGAACATGCAAATCATATTTCAATATATTTCACCACAAAAATGTACTCATCAAAGCAGGTGGAAAAAACTCATTTAACTAATAGAAAAATAACTTTTAAAAGAATCAGAAGGAAAGACCACCTGACAACTTTCATGAATTACACTTGCTACAGGCAAATCATACTACTAATTAAAATGTTTTAAAAAGAAATTGGAAAAGGAGGTTCTTTACATTACCTTGATACTCGAGATTGATCGGCTGAAAGCTTATCTGCGCCTTCAACAGTGCTGGAACACATTATCCTCTTGAAGGTTCCATCAGAGAACGAATGCCCAATCCGATGATATATGCCTATAGATGGAGAAAATCTCCTCCTTAGAGTCGGTGCTGCTGGTGTAAAGAACCTATATTCATTGATCATTTACATATACCAAATAATTCAACAACCTTCTAACAACAATGATAAACCACATATACAAAACTAAAGCAGCAAAATGCTCGGCATTTTTAATACGTAAATGCACAGCATCAAACTCATTCATGCTTAGGGATTTCAGTTGAATATAAGCTAATTTGGATTTATGTACAAAAGCAAAAATAACGAGTTCGATATTTTTAGCTTTTTGGCAAAATCAAATGCACACTTTAGAAATAAAAGTCCGGTTCAGATCTCGGATCGGAAGTAGAGTACTCACAGAGTATGTGCTTGGTGTTGCCGTAGAGTACTGATTCCAGCCCTGCCAAGTGTTTGATGGCGTTCACTGACACGGTGCTGCAGTGAAAATGTAGGACCCGCGGCAATGGTAGTGGTGTTCGCCATTGTTTCTTCTTTAAAACAAAATCAACGTTAGCAAAAATTGGATACACCAATGGATGTCCTTAACATGAAAAATGAAACCCACAAATTTTGAGCTCTTGTTGTTCGACGAAATGAAAATATAAGAGAGTGGTTGTGACGGGAGAAATGATGAGGGAAAACCAATGCCAATGGAGTGGGTATTCTAAGTATTTCCGTCCATGTGTAAAATCAAAAGCATTGAGATCACGTTTATGGGTGTTTCATAGATATCTCCGTCCTCGGCTCGAATGAGGAAAAAGAGGGGTGTGCACGAGATTCGTTGATGGGGAATATCTATATGGGTAGGTTACCCGTATCTGAATTTCACTGCTTTCTGAACTAACGATATTAATTAGGTGAAACTGAAACCACTTGCTTTTATTAACCTGTTGGAGGAAACACTACAGAGCTTTTTGGTTCAGTTGTTGGGCCATTCCTGCACCTTAGGACAATAAATAGCCTATATGGTTATTCATGTAACAAAATTCCTTTTTGGCAAAATATGTGCCATTAATTAGTTTCTTGCAGATCTATATTAGTTATAATAGCCAATAGGCTGCTCCGACTCAACCTGGCCAAATATACTCCTTAATTTATTTTATTTGCCATAATTTAATATGGTTTTAAACATATCATATAATTCAACAAAAACCTAGTGTAATCCCACTAGTGGGGTCTGGGGAGGGTAGTGTGTACGCAGACCTTACCCCTACNGGTGGGCTCGGCCCATGAGGGCCGGTGACCCATGTAAGCTCGATTGGGCTGACCATGTTAAGGTCCATCAAAACAGTTGGGCCAGCCTAGTCCAATCCGTCAAATACCAAAGCCCTTGTGGTTTGGGTTGGGCTAGGCTGGGCTGGGTCAGCCCGTATTGACAGCTCTATTTTAAAGCTTCTTATTAAGGAAATATTAAAATGTAAAAAAAAACTAATAAATAAATAGTATCAAATTAAGTGGAACGAAGGAAATAGCACATATGAAAATGTTGCAAAAATCGCTTGAAAAGTAAGCAATCTAGATAAAAGAATGTCAAAGTTTAGGCATGGGATGGTCGCAAATGCTTCTTCAATGCATGGCCAACAATAAGTACAATCGTCGATTCATATGTCACAAATAATAAATTCTGTTAGGACAGAAATCATGTGAAGTGTTACGCAACGCCTTCCTGATGATCTTTGGAAGGGCAACGTAAGGCTAAGCAACCGATGT